TCTGGAAGGCGTTGGATCACCAGCATCCCAGAGTTTGGGAAGTCATCGACAGGACGGGTTTTGGCCCGCTCTTTCGAATGGGCAGAGTTATGACCGACAAGAACCTCGTCACGTGTCTGGTGGAAAGGTGGCGACCGGAGACGCATACCTTCCACTTTGACTTTGGGAGGCCACCATCACGCTGCAGGACGTACAAGTCTTTTTTGGTCTCCCGATCGATGGAGAGCCTTGTTGGGGAGAGACTAAAGATAACACACCCCTAGACTGGCAAGATATTTGTAATGATGAGCTAGGGTTCGAGCCCTATGTTCAGGTAAATGTTTTCTTACAATTTTGTTTTTTTTGTTTTTATTTTATTTATGTTTACTCATTTCATTAATTTTTAATACATATAAACCACTCTCAGAAACCCAGTGAAGCGGTTCAAGACACCAAGACTTGGGCCATTACAGGCCAGTATTTGAAGATCTATACGTTAGAAGACGAGTGCAACAAAGAGCTACCCGATAGAGAGCATATCCTCACCTACGAGGCGAGGGCGAAGGCCCTTATACTCTGGTGCATCGGGGCCTTCTTCTTCCCCGACCAGAGGGGCAATGGAGTGAACCTGTACTGGTTGCAGCCTTTGCACGACATCGATACGATCAAGACGTACAGCTGGGGTTCGGCGGTCCTGGCCGGAGTGTAGAGAGCGCTCTGCACGAGCGCCAAGTCCGGGGAAAACTGGATCAAGAACTGTGTCCAATTGATTTTGGTAAATTTATTTGCTTGTTATTTCAAAATTCATTTTTTTATTCTAATTTAGACTAATATCTAATAACAAATGAATATGTCGATATGTGTAAGTTTGGGCATATGAACGTATCCCTCGTATTCGCCCAAGAATGAGGGACACGAACTTTGAGAGTGTAGCGCCCCATTCGAATATTAGATTTTTCTGATTTTCTTTGATTATGAGATTATATATATATAATTATTAGGTGGGTAATATAACGGTATTCTCGGTAAAATTCTATTCAGTAATCGGGCTAGTGTTAGAATTTTATTCTGGTCCGTTTATTTTAGAAATGGATTATTTTGTTTATTTTTAATATTATGTATTGTTATAATTATTATTTTTGTTGTTGTTGTTACTAAATAATATTAATTGTCAAATTGTGATTAATTGTCTAAATTATTATTAATATTATTACTATTATATTTATTTTAAATTAAAGTGTATAATTAATATCATTATCGATTTTATATTTTTATCGTATGTCCGAATCGAGCCCGAGGGGCTATGTATGTCGAGCGCGTAAGCCGCGCGTCCCGACGTTTTAAACCGGTAGACTGAACCCGGTCTTTATTTCTTTTTCATTTATGTGTGTGTATTTTTGAAAATAAGGAAAAGTCAAACGTGCATATTATGTTAAAATATACTACATCTTCTTTATCTATTTTACATACACATCTTATATCTATCTATCTTCTCTTCAAACGTAATTTTTATTTCTTCTACTTCTGATATTATAATCTGTCAAGATCTCTCCATATGCTTATGATCCGTAAATTACTCCTTCCCATGTGTTTTCTTCCTCCTTAAATCTGAGCTCGTCCGCTGTCATCTTACATTTCATCATCATCCTCCTTTCATCATCTCCCTCTCATTTTTCCCGTTGCCAACCTTCATCCTCAGTAGCGAAACAACCACCTCGACGCCGCGACCCCAGAAGCTCCGGCGATTCACGAGCAAGCATCCTCGGCCGCCAAATCCCAACAGCCGCGAGCTCGACGACGAGACCACCCCGACCTGCAACTTTTTCCGGCGATCCCCCGACGTGAACTAGCAGCCCCGACGTCATTCCCGACGAGACGCGAGAAGCCGGCGAGCCGACGTGCCGTTCGTCTCTTTTCGTTTCATTTTTCTGAGTTTCGTTCACGAGCCAACTTTCGACCCGTTCGGCCGAGCAGTCGTTCAGCCCGTTTCTCCTCCGTTAACTCGTAAATTTTCGAAAGTGGATAACTCATTTTAAACCCTCTCGCTATTCTGGTCGTATTCGTATATTACATGATATATATATATATATATATATATAT